CCAAGCCTTGAGATACCAAGAAATGGGAAAGCACTCCTAGGTTTTCTCATCTGTGAGTTCTCTCAATTGTGAACACAGACCTGAGGATGGCTCTTCAATTTTTTGGTGGTGACGTATTTTAAGGGCGTGAAAAGCTGGCTCTTGTCACTACTTACTTGATTTGTTATGGAAAGGCAGTAATTTGCCTTAGATTTACAACGGGGCTTTCTGCTAAATCACCCGAACTTGAGGTTTGCTCTGTGCAGAGTTAACTTTGTTCTCTTCCTCTCAAACCCTAAATAACAGATATGAAAGGTTTATTAAGCAAATGAGTAAAACTCCCAGGGCTGTGAATTCCATTTCTCACAAGAAATTTCTGAAGCCGATTACTTGCCAAACCAAACAGATCAGGTATTGCAGCTCAATGAGAAACAAATGGTTGTTTTGCTTACAGGCTTTCACAGCAGCATGAGGGGGGAGAGGTATCATCATCTGAGTGGGAGAATGATTACTGAAATGTGTTTCTGCCAGTAGGGCAATTTTACTTGTTCTTACATTTAGGTGGTTTCTCATATATTGCAGTAACAGGCACAAGAGGCAGGTAGAAATGCAAACCCTTTTAAATTCAGGAAGATTTTTTTCTGTATTTGTGTGCTGTCTTACATTGGATGTCTCATTTGTATTTAAGACAGTCACTGCATATTTAATGTTCTGATGTACTCCATAATGCACATTTCGTTCTTCTGGGAGAATTAACCTGGCATGAGATTGTATAGCAGGCGGGCCAGGATGTGTCTGCTTGTAAATCCTGTGTAGCATTTAGCTTGAAGTAGCTAACAAATCTGTGTGGAGATGGTGCCTTTCCTTCTTAAGTGGATGGCTGGGCCTAGTTCTGGGTTAAATGACAGCTTTTGGGAGGAGAACATCTTTATTTAAGACTTAATGCTTAAAACATAAAGATTTTATCTCCTTCTTTTCTTATGCATGAGGCTTTTCCAGTAATATTAATATTTTACTGTTGAAGCATCTTGCTGATAAATGGAGATTAAATCTCCCGAAATGAGCTTTTAAACCCAACAAATGACAAGAACTTGATAGAGGTGGCCTTTCAGGGAAGCTCTGATGAGAGAAGCCAGTGAAATCCTGCCTAAAAGCTCAGCAGACTGGAGGAAAGGAAGCATAAGGACCATGATATGTTACTGTTATTAGACAACACCTTCTTGCACAGCCTCGCTGAAATGGTGAGCAAAGCTTTATTCAAAATGAGTAGGAAAGGTGGAAACCTCTGTCCCTAAATGTTTAGCTTTCCTCTTCCCTTTTTAAGTGCCTATTAGGAAGTCTGTCCTTGTATCTCTGAGCCTCTCTGTGTTTGGCTTTTCTTTATTTTTTTTTTTCCCCCTTCTGAGGCATCTTTATTTTCTGGAATCTCGCTCAGGTACAAATGAAACCTGTGTGTGTGTCTAGGAGCAGCTAAATTACATTCCCTGTGAAGAACACAGTTAAGAGAACCAGTTTCCGTAGTGATACTGACACTGGTGGGTAGACTCAAACTGGAAGTGGTTGTGTATGAATTTCTTGATGTCTTTGGCACAAAAGAGGCTTGAATGTGAAATAGCCTCATTTTTTTAAGACAAAATGTCCTCTGTTTTTTTGTTGTTTATCCATAACTCCTCTAATATTTCACAAAAGCCATAAAGGACTGACAGATTACAAGTTGCATGAAATATCAAAGTAATTATTTACACTTTCATGCTGCTTTGTGCAGACATGAGACAATAAATACCCATAAAGTCTCAAAAGTGACACTTACGCAGCGGGGGATTCACAGTTTCTTACGTGCTTGTTTCTCTTGCTTGTAACTTTATGCTAATACGTGATATTCCTGCATTTGGTTTTAAGTAAGCTCCAAGGGCTTAACTGTGGCTACAGAGCAGTGTCTGCTGGAAGCCAAACTTCTGGAGTTGACTGCAGGGTGGGGGGAACTGCAGGGTGGGGAACAGCCTTTTCTTCCAGGGCCTTTGGTGAGCACTGAATTTTGGTGGTGCGTTTGGCTGCCTTTTTACATGGCTTTTGGAGAGCACGGCTTCTACTCCAAACTCCATGGTGGTGATGTGGCTTTCTCCCCTGACCTGTCCCAAATAACTGGGACGATAGCTGCTCGTTACTGCAGGCAATTACTAATTAGGCACAAAATGGTTTGTTCCCTCTGGTTTGCGTTCTGCAAGGAGCTGAGGTTCCTGTGCAGTCATTAATTTCTTGGGCTTAAATCCTGGAGTCCTTCTCACCTTAAGATGAGATTCAAACAACTTGTTTCTTAAAAATGCCCTAGAGAATTTTGTTGTTGTGTTAGTAGAACAAACCTAATGTCTTGTGGTTTTGTTTTTGGTTTTTCTTTTTAAATTTACTATCCTAAATTACTAAAGGGTCAGCGCCTGCTGGGAAGAGGGGTAAAATGCAAAAATTCACGTGTGGGCACTTGTGTCAGCTTTAAGTTTAGCACATCTATGGCTGAACTGTGCCCCAGTGTTTGAAATGTGATGCTTGAATCTAAATGGTTGTAATTCGCTCTCTTCAAACAGCGAGAACGTGAGCAGGAGGAAGGAGGTGTTGGAAGGAGCTTGGCTGGAGAGCACGCTAGGCAGAAGGAGGAAGATGAGAAGAGAGAGATGATCACCCCGGCTCTGAGGGACGCGCTCACAAAACAAGGTGAGGTTCTGTAAAGACTTGATGGTGGAAGAGGCTTTGAAGTCTTAGCGGTTGGCTTTTAACAGGACAAGTGAAAGACCGTGTTCCTGATGTTAAAGGTGCTGTGGACCCTCGGTTGCCACAGGCTCCAGCCAGAGGCAGGGTGGAGATGAGATAGGGGCTGTTTGCAGCCGATTGTTGCAAGGGAAGGATCTAAAGCTGGTACACGTCTTGGCGTGACGTGTGCTGTATGGTGTGGGGTGTATCGGAGTTCACAGGGCTTAATGTACCTGCTAAGGCAGCTTGTGAGAGAAGACAATAGTCTCACGTGCCTTTAGCTCCCAGAGTGTAGGTTTCTCAGACTATTTAAACATCAGCTTTGCATCTGTATTTTGGATCTTAGTCCCTTGCTTTTATTAAATTTTCAAGCTTTAATTTTGTTACTGAAACTTTATTTTCAGAAAAGCAAGTATTTCAAACTGTCTACTAGATGATTAGATCAGTAGCTCTCCTATGTGCTGTAGAGAACAGTTTTAATTAATTTAATGCCCTTTTTTTTTTTTTTTAAAAACAAAGGGCAGACAGAGAAAAGCCAGCCAGCCAGCCGTGCAGTTCAGAAGCCTCAGCTCTGATTGGCAGAGCCAGGAGGGTGATGTGAGCTCCCTGTGCTGTTCAGTTGAAGACTAACAGGAGTTTAGTCTGATTTCTTCTGTCTTAGGATGAGAGTATGCTCAGTTTTCTTGCCTGCTAAAGAGGTAATATCTGTCATGACGCCTCCGCTGCCATGACCTGCAGTGCCTTCTCAGAAGCACCTTGCCACAGAGCGGAGCTCTGGAGATCTGACCATGTTCTGGATGAGTCCAGCAGCTGTGGCATCCCAGCACCTTTTGCTCCCCAGAATCTTGGCTGTTCTTCAGCCCGAGCTGTTGTAGGTGACCGGTGGTGTGTTCTGCCCAGCAAGTATCTGACATGTTTGGTGGTTGTGTTTTTTCATTAACCCTAAGACAGCTATAATATAAAAAACTGTTCTTTAAATCTGTAGTGTGAAGGACTAAAACGAAGGCTTAGCAAGGAGCAGCAGTGGCTTTTCTTCCTCTTCCTGCCCATAGTGGTGCTGCTGCTGGCTGGGACCAGTAGAAGGCTTGCGGGAGGCTGGTTCAATACAACTTTTCTGCTTTGAATCTGAAAGCTGTAATTTGGTGGCAGTTACACTGCAGCATGCTGCAGAGCAGTTGGAGTCACTGTTACAGCCTTTTATTTTTATTAATCCATTTATTTCCTGCAAGCCCCTGCTCTGAGAGGTTGGAGCAGCCACTGCCTTCGTGGAAGGGTACACCAAACTCCCCAGACATCTCAGGTTTTGCTTTGGGACACAGAAACCCTGGAAGGAGCATGGGGCCTGCCTGTGGTACTGACTGTGGGGAAGGCGGCAGTGGGTGGTTTTGGGTGCACTGCTGTGGTTTGTTTTGTGGTGCAGGGCTCTGTTGTGCCGTGGTATCTGCAGCAGTGGCTCACACTGGCTCACTTTCAGACCCAGGCTGTATTGGTTTGGGGAGTGAATGAAACTGGGTAATGGTTTCTAACGGTATAGAAAATGTGGCCACTTGAAAAATTAAAACAGTGCTGAAGGGAAGGTCACCTTCTTACCATTATTTTATTGACACAAAGGCAAGCTCCCCAGTGAACTCAGCTTTCCTTGTGATGTTCCAGGAACAGGAATTCATTCTCCAGATGAACAGGTGTGCATTTCTCCTTTCGCTCAACATTCCGGGTAGTGCCAGCGTTGGATCAACTGGTGGGATCTGCTTACATAAATCTGCAGTTCCCAAGACTTAAGACTATTGTGGCTGTATTCTTATTGTGGCAACTGCCTCTTGTTGGCACAGCCTTCTCCTCTTTTTTCCTCTGCTACTTGTGTAATTCTTTAATGGTCAGTCAGCAGTGAGGAAGAGAAGCTGCCTTTCTTGCACGTGCAATGTAAGATTTTTTTATTCTGCAAATGACACGCCAAGGCAGGCTTATGTGGTTATAAGAAAAATCAAACTTTTTCCCTCAGCACCATTCCCCTCAAAGTGACAAGTGCAATGTAGTCAAAGGATAATCTAATTTATTTAGCAGCAACTGGTTGCTTTGCGTGTAGGTTCAGTGTCCTTTCAAGATTATCCCTGAGGGCATAATTAGCCCAAGGGAAGAAACAAACAGTACTGGTGATTGGAGAGAAAGCTGCTCTTTTAAACTGCGGTTGCGTGACGGAGGTTTGCCTTTGAACAGCTTCAGTGCTGCAATGCACACGCTCTTATTTTGGTTCACCTTCAGACAAGTTTACCTTCCTGTAGGTAAACTGCATATTGCTTGAACAATGGTTCTATTTTAGCACTAGCATTGAATTTCAGCTAAATATAGCCTCACCTATGGGGTTGTATAGGTGTTAGCCCTTGTAGTTGCCTGGTTGCAAATACCTTTATTAAAGATGCTCTGTAATAGTTGCTTTTTAAAGTTGTAGCCAATCTTGTATTGTGAGAAAATGCTGATTCCCTTTCTATCAGTGTTCAGCCTTGCATAAAATACCAATACAGGACAAACTAGTGCCTCCAAGTAACAAATATAGCTGGAGAGAGAGATGCTGATAGTCAATGGCTGTGTTGTATTTGCAGTGGTACCATTTTGCTGTGTTAATGCTTTAGTAATTTCATCTGTTAATGTAAGTGTCATGAAATAAAGTGAAAATAGAAGCAAACTTTTCATGTTAATGTTTCCTGTGGGGATTAGTAGCCTGACATGTTCTCATTTGCTTTCTGCAGGTGTTAGTAGATTCCTAAAACAATCCCTGCTGGGCTAAAAGTTGTGGTTTTGTTTTGTGTGGTGGTGGTGGTGGTGGTGTTGTTCTGGGTACCAGGAGTATTTTGCATGTGGTGAAGTTTGCCTTTCCAGAGCTCCTGGTTTTTCAGGAAGTGCATTTAAATCTTCCTTCAACTTCAGCGGGAGTCTTAAGATGTTGTTTTAATCGGAAAGGTGATTGTAAAACAAACAGAACAAACCAAAACCAAAAACCCCCCAAAACCAAAACAACAATCCATGGAAGTTCCTTCAGTGTCAGTTGGGCTTAATTTAAGGGTGCAGAAATGTCAACTGTCTTGTACATTTTCCTGCTGCTGTAAAGTTGGTACAGCAATGGCACAAAGACCTGTGCTCTGCTGGGGGTTGTTAACCGGTGTTAAGCTTAACGGCTCTTTGGTTTGCCCGATGTTTTATTGATAGCAGTGGTCAGACTGGAAGCAGAACAGATTGTCGTGCTGAATACAAAAGCAAAGGCTGGCAGCTGGGGGAATCGTGGTTTTACTGCAGCTGACTTCTCAAAACACTTGGAGGTCAAACAGGATGTCACACGGTGACAGCCGGTTTCATCATCCCTGTCAAGTAGCACTTGTATTTAGCAGAGCTTCAGGTCTTCTTTGTGCTTCTTTTAGATGTGCAGGAGTGAAATGGAGAACAAATAAACTCAGAACCCTGAGGAGCTGATCATTTGCTTTGGATCCCAAGGACCTGGGTATCTTAAGCTGCTCATACTGTGTATTTCTGACACGTTCTTTGCTTTGTTCTTTTCTGCTGTAGCACGGCTAAATACACCGGTGCTTTTCGTGGTAGGCAGCACAATGGAAATGGATTAATGATATGCAAAGGCTGACCCCACTGACATCGTGTAAATGATTCTGTTGTGCCTCTGCTACCACCGGGCACAGTTTTGCTGTACAGTTTTTGCAGTTTTGCTGTACCTGGTTGTCCAGTTGGATTGTTCTGTCTTTACTGGTTAAGTGAGCCTACAGTTTATCACAAGAGTGTCCAGGGTGCCTCTATCTCCTATCCAAAGGCAAGCGGACTTAGGAGACAGAGACAGCTTGTATCTGAAATAGTAGGGGCTGCTTCCATAACCGCTTGTTCTCATGCTCTGGTTTAATAATTGATACAACGATACATGCTTTGATCTATGTTTTTGGGGGTGTGTGTACAATCAAGAGTCTGACTTCAGAAAAAATATTGAAGACTGGGCTTTTTCAAGTGCTCACTAACCGTATTTGAGATGAGGTTTTTAGAAGTACTTTTGGTGGCTTTTGCTGCCCCTTCTCGGACTGAGGTTTCCAGAGCCCACAGCTCTAAGCTCTTCTGACCATCGCAGCCTGGCTCACTGTGCTGAGCCTTTTGAGTGCCTGGGCTTTGGAAATGAGATCCACCTTGCCAAGACATTGCAAAGAGATTGGTGCTGCTGGGTGTGTGTTTTTCCAGGCTGTGCGCTAAAATGTTTGCATGCATCTTTGGGATTCGGTGTGCTTTATATATAGCTATTTAACTCCAGGTGGCACTAGCAGCTCACAGCTGGGTCAGGGATTAGTAACGCTGGTGCAGTCCCTGAAATGTACCACAGAATTCAAATGTTGGCCATGGAAAGATTGAAAATTAGTTTGCAAAATAGAAAATTATTCATAGTAAGCAGTATAGATACAGTGACTGAAACCAGGTATAGTTAAGTCTGTGTACATGAACAGCAAATACAGAGTTAAAGGGGAAGAATCCAGGAAGCAGAAGATGCTGAAGTCCCACCGTGTGGAAGCTGCCAAGAGCTGGTGGTGAGCTGACTGCAATATTAATTTACTGGTGCAGATGTAGCAAGCTCATCAGGAGCAGAGTAGATGGTGAAAGCTTGGCTTTGTGGGCCTGATTCTTCCTTTGTGTTGTTACTGGAGCTACGCTATATATAATAGGGGAAAATAAGCATAAATACATTTATATTTTAAGTGCATCTGTTTTTTCAGGTTTTGGAAGGGTTTTTAGATACTGGTCTTTGAAGTTAAGTCTAAGCTGGAACAAAGTACAAGATATATTCAGGCAAGGATGAAATCTGCCTGTCCTTTCTTCACGATGTTACACTCTCCCCAAGCAAGGAGACAGTTTATATGAATGGGAAATGTGGAGAAAGAAACGTGCCTGGGAAGACTGAAAAAGAGAGACTTGATAAAACACAACAG